CCCCCCCCCCCCCGCAGTGATGCCCCTCTGCATACCCCACCCTGCCCCGGCAGTGGCCAGGTGTCCACAGACGTGCTCACAGGGGCCATCCCCCTGCTCTGTGCCCTCACTTGGTGCCCACGGCCACTCAGCCACGTGGGGGCAGTTGAATCCACGTGCGGAGGAAGGAATGGAGGCGCAGAGAGCTTCGGTGCCTTGTCCAAGATCACACAGCACAGAACTGCCCAATGGGAATCTGAGCGAGGTTTGGTTCCCAAATCCAGGGAAACCTGTGAGAAGAACAAGTATTGAAATTTTGTTTGTAAATAAGATGCCACTTTTTATAAACACATCCCCACATATTTTCACAGAACCATCTAGTCATGGAAACGAGGACAGGGAGCCGGAGTGCATGTCCCGTCACTCACTTCTCATGATAAGCTCCAGCCCTCCCTCTGAGCTTGGCTGGCCTGGGCATCATCCCCTTCCTTGCCAGTGAGAAATCAAAACTCAGAAGTCAAAGAACCTATCCAAGGTCACTTAACTCAGTGACAGAACAGGTCTAAGATTTATCACCATTTATGAGCTGGATTTTCCAGTTTGGCAAATAATAGGTATATTTGTGCCCATGTTTTGATGACAGAAATCTCGGAACAAATTATGTCACTGCATTTTTTAAGAGGACAGTATGGAAGGGGAAACCCTCTTTCTTTTTAGAGAAAATAATTTCAAATTTATTTCATTGTGGTTTTTGGCTTTCAGGGCGAATTGCGCCCTCTACTGGCTGCTCTGCAGAAACTGGGGCTGCTTTTCAGAGATGGCGGCAATACTTAGCACCCCTGGACCTCCGCTTCCCCATCTGTAAGGCAGAGGCAACAGCCACACGGGGCATTTGTGAGGAGTCACACACACTCATGCCTGGCAGTTGTAGGTACAGGAACTGGGGGTGTCCATTCCCCCAACTTTTTCTTAACTCCAGAACAGCAGTTCTCAATTCAGGCACCTTTGCCCCCAGGACCATTTTCAGGGTATGAAGGCGTTTCGGGCTGTCACATGGGGGATGCTGTTGGCATCTAGGGGACGCTGCAAAATATCCCCCGGGCACAGGAGGGCCCCAGGTGTCTGTGACGCAGAGGCCGAGAGAGCCAGACCTGGAGGTCTGTGAGACGCCTCCCCAGATCTCGGCGGCGATGTGAACATGCGTGGCGCCGGGGCCCTCTAGAGTGGACGCGGGTGCGCAGGTCCCCACTAGGGCTGGCCTCGATGAATTGGCTTTAGGGAGCAATGCCCGCTGCCCACGCTCAGGGTCCCCATGAGCTCCCCCCGGCTGTGATCCTCGAGACCGCCCCTGGGGTGACTGCTGGGCGCACGTGCCCTTGTGGAGGATCCGTGCTCCGGGCCGCCCTCTCCGCCCCTGCCGAAGGCGGCTCCTCTGGCCCCCTTCACCCTGAGAGAGGAGGTGCAGGTGCCGGTTCTGCAGGTATCTGATGACAGCGCTGGGATTTGAAGCTGGGCCTCTGCTCGCCCCACCCCAGCGTGACCCCACCTGGTGAACCACACGGACCCGCCTATGAGAAACGCTTCTCACAGCCGCCTCTGCTGCCCCTCGCAGCCGCCTGCTCTGGCTCGGGCGCCACGTCGTGCTTGTCCGTGAACGCTGCAGTAGTCGCCTGCCGCCTCGGCAGAGTCCTGGGCAGGCTGGCGTCT